ACGAGTTTCTAGTCATGCTTCCTGAGACTTTGCATGTGTCAAAACTTGACACTGTGGCCTGGAACGAATGGGTTCAGGTTTGTCATGACTGAATACTTCTTGGCAGTGCTAATGACAGTTTGTCATTTCAGAGAGGATATTGGGAAGTGGCAGACAGATTGTGTGAAATGGATGACGCCAGTGAAAGCTCAGTTCTGGTGCTTCACAAGGAGGAATCTCGAGCTACCAACTCCAACAAGGTGATCAATGGGGAAGAACCATCGACGAGCCTTAGCAAGTTACAGAGCGGGACATCGACTCCACATTGAAGTTGCGAATACGACGAGCAAAACGACTGATCCTTGTAGACCGCGGCATATTCGTTTTTTGAGTGCCGAGTATTCGATTTTATCTTTGAACAACTAGGAATTCTCGAGCCCTCTCTCCGTCAAACGAAGGGCCCTCTCTGAGGAATCGGACGCAGTCGAGGAGGCGGAGTGGAAGAAATGCACTTGCAGAGCAGCTCCTTGAGACGCTCGCAACGGTATCCCTAGGGCTCTTCCAGCTTCAAAGCCCTGACACGTCAGCATGTTGGCACTTTTACCAAGAACCCTAAAATTTAAATCAAAGCGGACGGTGGATTGCTCCAGCTCGTGAGATTGTGGTGGAGGGCGATTCGCAAGGATGAGATGGCACCTAATTAATCCCCCAGCGCTCCCACTCGCGATCGGCAGTCTCCACAGACCCGCAAGTCAGTGGCTGCAGCCATCGCCCTGGAACGTCATGAAGAACGTATCTCCTGGATCCTGTCCACCTCGGCGTAAATCTCCGTCGTGTGCGGGTGCGAGAGAGCGTGTTCTTGATGCTAATCACTCTTGCCGGGCTCTTTCTTGATCCCCCTGTCCGTCATGATCCCGTTGTTGATCTTCATGATGATCTCTTCCACGCGCTGCGTCCGCGGAGCACCGTTCTGAGACTTGCAGCAGCGCTAACCACGTTTACCTGGAGCGGCACCATCCACCCCCCTTCCCCAGCATGTCGTGAGCAATGTCGTTCGCGCCCCTGTACTGATTGAGAGCCAGGTATCCCTTCGTCATCGCCGATACCACCTTGTCCTTCGTAGCACACCCGAGCAAGGATCATACTTCCGAACTTCTCCGCCCGACTTTGGCGCTCAGCCCAATCTTCTCCTGGACTAGCCTCTGCAGTTTCTTGGCTTCGTCCACTGTGATGTTCCTGGATTTCTGAGCGACGAGAACGTAAGTGTCCTCGTCCAGCGGCGCTCCTTCCTTGGCCAGGCGCGTTATACTTCTCAAGCCGGCAGGAGCATCGTCGTCCAAGCCTTCATTCTCGAAAGCATTGGATGCTGCCAACTTTTGCGTACATTCTCATCACCGCAAACGTTAGGAGCGAGGGGATTTTTCTCGCCTCCGGTGCAAGCTGCTAGAATCTGTGGCCAGGCATCCTTGTTGAGGAGTTTTAAGAACGCGTCGATCTTACTCCCCAGATCCGAACCCAAACCCTAAACCCTAAACCCTAGGCTATTCTTCCGGGCGTAAGTTTTACTTCCAAATAAGTGGCAGTGTCGGATTTTCTTTCGCTTGTGTGGATATAATACAAGGTCTCGATTGGATCAAACTTCCTGAAAAACAAGAGAACAAGCTTAGGCTTTAAGAAGTTACGATTGAGCTATAGTCTTTACCATGATCGAGTAAATCTCTTCAAACTCTTTGGCACGAGCTATGGAATTCATCGATGGGAACGCCGCAGATGCTTACTCGCCGCCTTGCTTCTTCTCTTCTGCATGAAACAAAGCTCGCCAAAGTAGCAAAAGAGAAACAGGACGACTTGCCTTCGCTCTTGCTGCTCTCCTCGTCGTCAGAGAGAACGGTCTTGTTCCTCTTCTTCTTCGCAAAAGGGAGTGGCTCGTAAAACAAGTTTGCTTGCCTCCTCCCCCTCCCCTCTGTGATGATATTACCTACATCAATTCCTTCGAGGTCTTTTTGCTTGTCTTTCTTTTTTCTCACGGCCTTGAGCTCTACAAACACGAGACACAACTCAGATAAGAGACATTGTCTTGGATTTGATTTACCTTTCTCCGACGAGTTCCTGTTCAATCCCTCCTTTTGCAAAATGCTCTCGAGCTCTTTAATCAGCAAACTCTCCCGCTTTGACTCTGGCACTTGCTTCACCCGTTTGTAAACGGAAGGAGGGATACTGCGAAGAAAACAAAAACAAATTATTACCCGTGTTGTTTGAGCAGCACAAACACATGACTTACTTTATTCCAGAGACCTTGATCATCTGCTTTAGTTGCTCCACGACCTTACTTACAACCGGTTTTGATTCCGGCGGTTTCGCAGCCTTCTTCTGCAATAGATGAATGATCACAGCTGAAGTGAGAGACGAGTAAAAATGTTAACTATACCTTTGACGTCTTCTTCGCAGGACTCTCATCACTATCGGCATTGTATTCATGCAACTTGGGGCAGGAATTTATTTTTGGCATTGATGGTGACTCTTCATTAATGAAAACCTTTCTAATGTAATATATAAATTATAGTTTTACCCCTTCAAGGCATTTGTTGTTATTTGCTAATAGCACTATATATGTGGACGACAACACACCCAAAAACCCTTAGCCATCAATCTAATGTAGTGTTCCAATTGCAAGTCTACACTGAATGCACACATGAAACTTATTAATGGTCTCAAAGGAAAAGAGAAGATTTATATCTTGTGTCATTGTAGCACATATAAAATCTTTATTGAATTTGTTATACATTTCTATGTTTGTATTACAAAAACCAGCTAAAGGAATATGACAATGTATATCCTCCACACAGCCTCCCCGAGTGTTTGAGGTCATCTGGCTCCGCCTCTGCGTCGGATTTGTGTCAAATTCCAACCAGCTGTTTGCAAAGGTTTTGAATCTTTCCTAGAGATCTCGTTCACTTCCAGCAAAACCTCGGTTTGGCTGCGATTAGAATCCAAAAACCGGGAAGCACAAAGCATTGTTCCAGACAAACTCCAAACATCACGAACAAAGTTCTTGTGTGGATTGGCCGGACTTTACTGACAAAAAGTCCAACTAATAAATTGCAAAAGTTTCAATAAATAATCAAAACCAATCTTAGCTCAGTTGGCAGAGAAAGTGTTAGAAATTGGACAATGGAATTTACATCCTGTAATAGAAGTCCGATCTGCAGGAATCAAACCAAGACTTAAAGTTATCCATTGAAAGAAATCTCAACACTACAGTGAAATTTGTTTCTGACTCTAAGAGTTTCAGTGCTGCCTGGGAGGGCGGCCTCAGCAGAAAGCCTTGAAATTTCACGAGGACCAAGATGACAGAGAGGCTAAGGTATAACTCCAGCTCCAGCTGAAGTCCAATAAGGGATGGAACATGCCCATGTAAGCATAAAGTTAAACAGCGATTGCTATACTACATGCAAAATGATATTCATCAGGATGTGTCTAGCACGTCTATAGCGTTGCCTCCTTGAAGCCTTTGAATCCAGGTCTTTGTTTTGCACAGTGAGTTCACCTTTGTTTACATTGTTTTGAGTCATTGTTGTGTTGGAGTTTATTCTTCCAAGCTGGAGTTCTTCCTTGCCTGGATTTTTATCAACTTTGTCAAAGTGTCCACTGTTTACCGTGGAGATTTGCGGTTGATGGCCAATATTCCTTCCTATATCTTTCTGGAGAAGATGCACAAAAAGAGTGCGCCGTTGGTATATGAAATTTCGAAAAATCAAGACGAATACTTTGTATGAATCTGTGGCCTCTGCTCGACGGTATTTATTCGCAGTGCTCAATAGCATCGAGAGCCAATTTTTTTTTACATGGTCACATATACAAATCATTGTTAACTTCCAAAAAGTTGTTTGAGAAGGTTTTGTATCCTGGTTATCTTTCTCAAGGGCCTTAAAATAGCAAACCACACGAATGAAGTTGATGAGGCAGCAAAAATGAGATTAATAAGTTACTAAATGTGTGATAACACTCAACCCTTAGATTGCTGGTTCGATTCCGGCAGATTAAATATTAGTTTTACAATGATAAATCAGGTAGAAGCATAGTATTTAAACCCAGGACCTCAGGGAGAAGAGCCTTGTCTCTAACCCATAAAAGCTTAATTCAAAGAGCAAACAGCAAGCCAGATCTAGGATAGTAAGCTTTTCTCTCATTTTCATTGGCAATAAGAGCGTCTCTTTGTGTTTCTAGTGCGAAGATACTTGAATAAAAGAATGAGGAATGTGTTGATGACAAATATAATAATATAATTTTGATAGGAATTCTGACTAAAGCTCCTCACAATCGTGCTGTGGGCCAAACAGGGAATGAGGAGGACTTTTTATGCTTAGAAGATCAGCCAGTGACGAGAGCCTTGAAATCCAAGTCTGACCCCACCTTATAAGGATGAAAGCTAATTGATCCAGTAGCTTAGACAAAACAATCTTTGTAACATCTTTGAGAAGATCTGAGGCATTAACAATTAACACAACACACTTCTAAGTACAAAAATAATTCAAGGCTTGAGCCTTTTAATCCACAGCCCTTGGGATCACCTTGAATGGAAGTGAATTGAGTCATTGCTGTGCTAAGTTAATTCTTCCAAGCTGGGTTTTTCCGTGGCTGGATCTCTGTCAACTTTTCAAAGTGTGCACTGTTTACCGTGGAGATTTGGGGTTGATAGAGGCTTCCTTTATTGTTGAAATTTCAGTTCTAGAAATGTTTTAAAAAGTCTGATTTATAAGTCTCCGAATTTTCCATGCTGCTTTTCACGGCTCCTCTTCTTTTGAGCTCTTTCACTCAAGATCCACTACTTCACGCCAACGGGTGACATGACATACCGTTGTCTCTGCATGGGTCTATGAATGTATACGTGACCATGAGAAACAATTAAAAATTACAGCTCTCGATGTCATTTCTGCAAATAAATACCAGCGGGCACAGGCCACAGATTCATACCAAGTAGTTTCGTCTTGAGTTTTCACAATTTCAAGTGTTCTATACCAATGGCTCTCATCAAAATTGTCACGGTGTCATTCTTTCTGTGCTTAACTATTATTGGAGTTTTGGGCGATGAGGATCCTCTCCAGGATTTCTGCGTCGAAGATCCAAACTCCAATGTGTTCATCAACGGAGTTCCTTGCAAAGGTCCCACCACAGTCACTGCCGATGACTTCACCTCCACAATCCTTCGTCAGGCTCCAGTCACAAACAACACACTGCGAATCCAAGCCGACTTGATCGATGTCAGACTGTTTCCAGGCCTCAACACGCAGGGACTCTCCATTGCTCGCCTTGCATTCGGTCCATTTGGCGTGAATCCTCCGCACAACCATCCCCGAGCGTCCGAGGTCATCTGGCTCCTCCAAGGACGCCTCTATGTTGGATTTGTGTCAACTTCCAACCGGTTGTTTGCAAAAGTTTTGTATCCCGGTGATCTGTTCATCTTTCCCAGGGGACTAGTTCACTTCCAGCGAAACCTGGATAAGTCGGATACGGTTGCGGTGGCTGCGCTTGGAAGTCAAAACCCAGGAAGGACAGACATTGCTAGAGTGTTGTTCCAGACCACTCCAGACATCATGAACGAAGTTCTGGAGGCAACTTTGCAGGTTGACGAAACTGAGATTGATGAGTTACGACGTGGAGTGAGTCGGACTTGATTCTGAACAAAAGATCCAACTACAAAATGCTTGCAAAAATCTCAATAAAGCTCTTAGTTCAAAGAAGCTCTATTTCGTTAAAGTGGGAATTGTCATTATCCCACTTGTAAAATAAGGTTTCCAAACCTTTATATAGTATATAAATATAACAAAATTCAACTGCATTGAGGCACATGCCATTTTATTTTAAACAAGGAAATGTCTACTCAATCACTTCTCCTCCCCCTGCCACTGCTTCACCTCTCTCTTCTCCTTGTCATCGTCGTCCAATTTCTTTCCATCCTTTTAATATTGGCTTAGTTGCTCCGAGTCTAGGTGGAGCCCAAGTCCCCATTCAATCTTTACTTTCCCCTTATTAATAAAACAACTTCGTAGACTTCCAATAACATGCTGTAACACTTCTAGTATAATGCAAATCCTCTCAAAGAATTGTCTTTTAATATTAATACAATGGCATGGAACCCCATGCCATAATAAGTTACATTTTTAAATAAATACATGCCATCTCAGACTGTTATTTTTTGCCTCCAACGCCTATACAATAATCTTGGAATTTCATCACTCTCCACACTATCAGGATTTAAACCCAATAGTAATGCCATCTCTTCTCTAATACGTCCACGCTCATGTTCAGTGGTCGAAGAACCCATCCGGTTGAGCAGATTATGGAGATGCGGATAGTGCTTGGCTAGACAATATACATGCCATAAATGATGACTGGTGTCTGTCTGATCAAATGGCTTCTGATATACCGTTCCATCTGCCATTTGGTTGATTTCTGCAGCCACCTCTTGGATTGGCCGGTTCTCTATCACCATCGCTTCAAGCTGTTTTGCAAGGTCCCCCAGAACATACGGTTTCTTCTCCCTAGTTTCCATACTGCAAGAGATGGGGTGCACTGCATATGTGTGCGTGTTCGCTGTAGTTTTAATCGGCGAGTCATCGATGATGAGGATTTCACTTGACCTAGCAGTCCGGTTCATCACTACAGCCTCTGGCTTGACGAAGATGGGCTTGCTACCCCTCACATGGACCATAGTCAAGCAATCCTCCTGCGTTAGGAGAAAGTCAAATGGTAATATTACTCGCGTCTGATCGTGCATCATCTGTAGCAACGTTAATGCATTGTGGCGCATCATGGATGTCCAAACTCCCAATTGCAAATTGAACCCGGCCCTCTGTTTTAAGTGTCGCATGGTTATTATTAGATCCCGCAGTTTCTCCCGTGTGATTAATGTGAATCTGTCTCTTTTGACCAACTTGCGACCGCAGGCTTTGGAGGGTGCAGTGACATTCGAGGACGAGCCACGCTCATGGGAGAAAAGGACACCGTTCAGATCAAAAACGATACAGTACTTTCGCCGTGACTCTGAAATGAAATGCGTCAGCATAAAAAATGGTACAAGTCAATTTTACCATCTACAATATTAGCAAATGGTGCTCCCGATGGTCGTTCAGAGGGTTTTGGTTGAGGAAACGTGAAGGGCGGAAATATCTCCTTTGCAATGTGGGGTCAATCGCATCCGATGGCGTGTGGGCACATGCCATTTCAGCTGTAGACTCTGGTACAACTGGCTCAACAGTGGCATGGGGTGGTTCTGATGGCGTGTGATCACACGCCATTTCAGCTGGTGCCTCCGTTGGCAAAGTGGACATGACCGAACAGGCAGCAAGGGCGGTGTAGGGAGGTTCCAACGGCACGTAGTCAGACGATTGGGCACACGTTGAGTCTGTTGGAAATGAGGATATGACCGGCTCGGCGGCTGGGGCGGCCTCATGCGGGTCCAATGGCGCCTGGTCACCGTCAGTTGGATACGTGGACAAGATTGACTCAATGGTATGGGCAGCATCAAGTGGAGCGTGGTCAGCTTGCTTGGCGTTGATATGGATAGTAGCCTCCACCAGCTCTGATGACTCTTGCAGGCAAGTAGAGTCCACTGGCGGATCCATATGCATGTCCAAATATCTCCCTTCGATTGAGATGGTATCCTCCCTACTGGCTACTAAAAACAAACTCATTAGCACATTGAATCGACTATACTGTATTTACCATCAACTGCTATTGGGCGCACTGCTGATTCTGAAGGATTGGACATACATTTCGACCCTTGCTTGGCACTATCCTTCCTCGACACTAAAGGCTAGAGTTTGTATCTTAATTCAACTGAATAATCTCTACTTACCATTTCTTCTGCGACCTACATGGACAATGTTAGAAATGGTAAAAGGTTAGGAATGGATGTACTATTATTTACCTGATGGTTTGTCTTGTATGACCTTCCTCCGCTGCTCTTTGGCCACCTCAGGCTGGCCATCGTCGTCATCATCGTCATCGTCGTTATTGTGATCGTCACCATTGTGAGGACCATCCAAGTCCTCTTCGTCCTCCTCTTCTTCATCCTCCTCTTCTTTGTCCTCCTCTTCGTCCTTCTGCTCTTCCTGCTCATTATCTTTCTCTGGCTCCTCATCCCCCTCCTGCATTTCTTCCATAGGCTGCTCAGGCTGGATGGCTTGTTTTTCCAGGACCATCTTGGGAAAATCATTTGGCCGAGTCTCCATCTCAAAATACAAGACATCCATAGCCTGTTTCAGTGCTTGACCTAGGACCGTATCCTCACCCGACTGTCTTAACATGGTTTCTGCACGTTCTTGCACCCTTCGAAGACGACGAGATGAGAAAAACATGGCCCTGACTTGAAAAGCATCCCTCATCCATTGTACCTCTCCATTGAGATTGGGGAAGGGGAGTCCGCCATAGGAATTTGAGTCAGGAGGTGGTGACTGGCTCCTTTCACTCAGCCCTTGATCTGCAATGAATGGCATGAGCACACACGCCATAACCGCGAGGCATTACCTATCATCTTTTCGTTGCCCTTCTTCCTTTTCGAATCAAACGCCTCTGATCCCGACGACTGTCCAACGTGCTTTCGCTTTTTATGACCACTGTCAGTTTGAGCTTGGCTGGTGCTTGCCTATTTTGCCTTTGAAGAAGTGTCTCCTGCAAGGAATGGCATGAGACCACACGCCATTGCAAATATAATTTGTACCTCCTTTTTTCCTATTGCTTGTCTGTTTGTCCTTCTTCGACGCGCCACCAGTGCGCTTTTCAGTCCTCGTGTCTGAATATTCACAACGATCTATAATCAAAATGGCGTGAGGCCTCACGTGACCTTACCTTGTGCAGGTTGTGAGCTCGGCCTAACATCAGTAGCTGTTAACGCCGTTTCAGCATCTGGGGGTGGCCACGCTCCTGCATACAGAGCTTGTGAGATAACATTTAAACTTAAAGTGCGTACTCACCAGGTTCGCAGAGAAGATACTGTTTTTCTTTGGCAACTGTAATTATATGCTCCATTGAAGTCACCTCTTCAATGGAGTTTGTCATCGCAACACACGGAACACCCTTGAGTAGTGCGGCTCGAAAGAATAGTCCGCCGCAGTTGTACTCGACAACGCATTTGCCCTTGGTGTCACCCGCTATTGCGTTGAAGACCCAGCTGAGCATTTCCCATGCTGCACCTGGAGCTTTCATTGGATTCGAAAGCTCCATAGCCGTCTTCAGTTCCTCAGGCACGGGTAAATTGACCTCCCTCAGATCAATTCGATCGGCCTTGTCGAACGAAGCTAGGAAGTCACTCCAGTCCCACTCTGCTGTAGGACCAATAACAAGGGCGAGTGTGAAGATGCGGACATTCGTCGGTATCTTCTTCTTAGCCATTATCCCATGGATCTCCCGCATCTCCTTGCCTTTCAATCGAGCCTTCACCTCGTTCAAGGCCTTCCAGAACTTGTGATAGGATTCGGAGTCGTAGATCATATAGTGGACTGAAGATTCCACCTCCGCAAGTCCCACCATTAAGTCAATGATGGAGCTGACTTCGTCTGCATGAGTGATCTCTTCGTTTGTGAAGTCCATCACACAAAAGATGCTCTTGACCTGCTCATCTCCGCGGGAAACGATGCTCCTCCACCTTTGATCCTCATTTGAATTCACGTATACCCGGTAAGGTTCTCGATAGGCCTCTGCTGCGGGGTCGAGCTGTTTCTGAAGCCGGCGGTCGACATCCCTCTTAATGAAATTTGGATACTGATCCAACTTCTCAGCTTTACTTTTCGTGGCATCCCGCAGCAGATCGATGAACTTGGGGGCCCCCTTCACGTACTCGTCGATGTCTTCATTTGACAAGTCCAGCTCTTCCATCATCTCTTGCGTGGTGTCGATGCTCACCCTCTCCACGGCCACTTGCTCGAAGATCCAATCCTTCAATAGCGCACGAGCTCTCAGAGTCGTGCACAAGTCCTCGTATGTCACAATATGGCCGGGAGTCATTTTGGTCTTGTTGAAGACTACCTCACCACGTAGAAGAGCATTAGCCACTGTCAGAAGGTCGTCGTCGTCTAGAGACCGCGAGAAACGCAAGGCGTTGAGCTTCAAATCATTGGGCTTCCGGCCGTCCTCCACACCCATTGAGTTTAGCAACTCCCCGTCATGGTACCTCCTCAGCACATCTACCCATTTGTCAAAAACAACTTTTGTCGCGAATAGAATGTTATGGATGCTGAGTGTGTCATTGACCCCCAGTGTTTTCGAGAGAAGACTCGAGAATTCCTGCAATGGAAATGGCGTGAGGCCACATGCTATGCCACATGCAACGAGGCTTACCTGCCAGGCGCTAGTTGCTAGTGCACGTCCTTGTCCTGGTTTTTGTGGCTTCTTCAGTTGAACCCAGAGCTTCTGTGTTCATGCCAATGTCTCGTGCAGACCTGATTTGTAGCACGTTTCTTGCTTGACATTCTGCGCGTGGGAGATGGATATGATAGATCGAAGGGGCGAGTTGCCTTTTATCAGGCGGACAACTCTTCTCTTGAAGACTTTCTTCACCTCCTCGCCCACCATAATATCCAGAACTATCTCTTGCATCGCCAAGCTAGAATGCTGCCCGGAGATGGCATAGAACCAGATGTTCTGATCGTCCAATACCTTC